GAGATCCACTATACGCAACCTGTGCAGCCTCCGATGCATCGGGATCTATGACCCCTTCGCCGCCTCATGCGAAGCTGCTAGACAAACAGCCTGAGTCGATGTCACCATGCATGTACATGTGCAAGTAGTGCTGTTTTTGTTTTAACACTGCTGTGTCGGCAAATGCCTACCTTAAACCCAGGCCTTCAAAATCGCTTATTCGTTCGGACACTGGAATCTCGACTATGACTGATGGTGACGGCCCTATGGAGATGGAGCCCTTGATGCTGCCTGATCATAACGGTGTGGCTCAGTGGCAATATGTGTCTTTACTATAATGACTCATGTTATATACACAGTACAGGTGTGTGCATGTGCACATGTGTGGGGATCTACCCTAAACCCTAAACCCAAACCCCAATTATCAGAATTCCTATTCTGCACTGTACCGAATCTGAGGTCCGAGAGTTGACTGAGGATGAACGAGCAAAGATTGAGGTGCTCTGCAGCAGCCGGACCATTCAATTGAACTGCATAAACCCCAAACATCAACCTACCCCTGTATCTCTCTTGCCCAGGCTCTGCAAAAGCCCAGCGACATCCCCTTGCAACAGCGCAAGGCCTTGAATGAGAAATTGCGCCGCCGTATGAACAACGGACAAGGCGGGTTATCCCTAAACTCTAAAACCTCCCCCCCTAGCCCTAAACCTATATATCACTGGAGGATTGACTGGCCGGGCACATGTTCTATCAATGATTTATTCAGAGTGACCTGCCTGCAGGACTGCGGAAGGGCCTCGTGGCTCAATGGGCATCAACCCCTGCGGGATCTTTGGCCCGGTGACTTCCCTACACTTCATCATCCCAGCAGAACCTTGAAGCCCTCAACCCCCTAAGTAATCATATCCCGAAGCACCAAAGCCACGACCAAGGTTTGCCTTTTTGAAGGCTTTCCTCCTAGACAAGGATTTGGCAACTATCACGGTATCACCGTATTTCGAGGAGTGCCTGGGCTCATTGATGACCACACGTTCACAGATGTCAGACGTGCTAGCAAGCTTCGACATAGACTCAACTCAGGCTTTCGGAAAGCAAAGAGAAAGAACTCTATGAAGAGCTGCCGTTTTGCCTCATACAGGAACGCTACCAGAACTTACCAGGAGGAGCCAAGTTACTGGAGGACATCAAGAACAGCCGCTGCCTCAACTCTGCATTATAGTTGTCCATTACAAAGAACATTGGCTCCGATCTAGTATAAGGTCAGGTTGGAAAACGACATCCGCAGAGCGACAGCGACCACATGAGGATTTACAAAGTGTTCAAACATGTGGCT